TCATCCATGTAACAAGGTAACAAAAAGCCACTTGTATCCCAAAAGCTATCGAATTAAAATATATAAAAAATATAAAAAATTCTTATTATTGAGCATCTATTATGCGTTCAAAACTATTTTAGATGCTATATATTTGCCACTTCATTTAATCCTTGACATTACTCTATGGAATAGATAATAATATCCTCATTTCGCAGTTAAAGGAACTAATATTCAGATAAACAATGTGGACATTATAAAGTAGAGGCAAGAAGACAATTAGGTGCTTTTGCAGTAATTAACTTGAGTGAAATTGTTGATCTGTGAGAATAGAAAGTGAATCTCTTGGGAAGATTTTACAAGGTTATTGTTTTTGCATGAGTGATTTTTTTTCCTCTAATCCCTCTTTTCATACGTAAAATATAGATTTACTGAGGCTAATCAGAGACTCACAAGAATGTAAGGACTTTTGTCTTTGCCTACCCTCCCTCCCTCCTTTTTTAACCCTTTTTGAAAAAAGCTTGGATCACAGATGCTCCTGTGATTTGTGTCTTCCCCAGGTGCATCCTGAATGTTGGCAAAACAAACCTCTAATCGACTGAGACCTGCCTCAGTCACTTTTTGGCTTGCAATGGAATTTCCTTCTTTTTAAAGCCTCAATAGAATTCCACTGTATATACATACCACATTCATGTGCTGAATGACACGGGTTGATTTTGTACCTTGACTATTGTGAATAATGCTGCAGTGACCATGGGAGTGTAGATATATTTTCAACATTCTGATTTAAAATCCTTTGTTGGTATCCTGGAAGTGGCATTGCTATTTAATATGGCAGTTCTAGTTTAAATTTTTGAGGAACCTTCATACTGTTTTCCCTAGTGGCCATACTAATTTACATTCCCACCAACAGTGTGCAAATGTTCCCTTTTCTCCATGTTCTTGTTAACATTTGTAATTTTTTTCTTTTTGGTAATAATCATCCTGAAAAGCATGGACTGATATGTCATCAAAGTTTAAATTGAATATCTTAAGTTTTCCAATTTGAAGATACGAGTATTCTCCCCAAAATATTACTGCTAATGTTGCTTTTTTGCATGAACCATGACCTTGAGCTGAGTTGGACACTTGAATTCTTGAGTACTTGGACATGAGCTTAAGTAGGACTGAAATTTTTTTTTATATAACTAAGCATTAGTTCCTCTCCCTACCGGTAAGAATTTGTAGAAGAAGGAGACATTATAAAGATCTCGTAGAGAGATACTTACGGTTTGTCTGAGAATGAAGGAACATAGTGACTACAAATCTAGAAGCTGGAGGAAGAGCTGTCTCTGGAAATATCCCAGGCATCCCTAGAAAACCAGAAGTAGAGACAAACATGTATGTTGCAAAGAGTGACCTGTGTGGGTTAGCTCTGGGTGGTGAAATCACCAGTGGTCCAGCTGAGGTGATGCATGGATGAGACTGACTAAAAGAAGAAACCTGTAGAAACTGGCCAGGAAACAAAGCTCCATTGTACAGCAGGTCCATAGCAGGCAGCCTGGGTTTTCATCCTGGTCTTCTTCTGTCTTCAAGGGCCATTTCCATACAGCATGAGAAGCCATGGGACTGGTGGGGTCTGGACTCCTTTGCAAGATCACCCACCATTTCCCTCAAGTGTCCCACATGCCTTGTATCACCTGACTTTCTGTCTTCCTACTAAAGCTTTTTTCACATTCTTAGTCCTTCACCCTGTGGCGTCCTCCAAGTCCTTACCTGACTTCCACTATGGAGTTTCCCCATGGCCACTTGCTTAAAGGAGGCACTGTTTGAGCCCAGCCCCTGAATGCTACTAATTTGACTTTCTTCAGATTTTTTAAACTGTCATTTAAAGAGACAACTGTTTAACAAGAAAGGGCCTATTTTATATGTGTCATGAAAATTTCATGTAATTGGTTACCTAAAAGCTGATATAAGGGAAATATGTAAGTAGCTTCACAAGGTTTTGAAAAATTTGGAGATAATTGCTTGATACATTTTTATTAAAGAAAAATGATATTCTGGGGAAGTATTTCTAATTATGTTACCACTGGCATTAAGGAGGCCACAGAACCTTTCTGAATGTACAATATTTCTTTATTCTGAAAGTAATTGCAGGATAGAATCCTGGATAACCCTTCTGGTGACTGGGTGACTCCTATGTTTACGTTTAACCACACTGACCAGGCACAGAGTCTAAGAGATGCTGACCAGGGAAGATGATTTCTCCCTTGATTCCACAAAGAAGGAGACCACAACTTTTTCTTCTGACCCGAAAGAAGAAAGGATGTGTCCTGGATAACAGCAGTGTCTTTATCCCATCTACCCACATGGGGTGCATGTGTTCCCACTGAGGCCAGGCGGGTGATCTGGGCGAGGCACTTGGAATTAGGACACTTGTTTGAGTTGCCTTCCTCTGGCCATGCCAATAGTGGCTGCCCTGACTAATGGAGCAGGGAGAGGAACATTGCAAAAAACTGTAGAGAAGGCTGGGTCAGGGGGACACAGCTGGGAGAAGCCCAAACCAAAGCCTTTCAGATGAGTTGTTTTTTCTGTTTGTTTGATTTTGTTTTTTTTTTTTTTTTTTTTTTTTTTTTTTTTTTTTAAAGACAGTTTTGCTCTTTTCTTCCAGGCTGGAGTGCAATGGCATGAACTTGGCTCACCGCAACTGCTGCCTCCTGCTTTTAAGAGATTCTCCTGCCTCAGCCTACCGACTAGCAGGGATTACAGGCATGCATCACCACACCCAGCTAATTTTTGTGTTTTTAGTAGAGCTTTCACTATGTTTGCCAGGCTGGTCTCGAACTCCTGACCTCAAGTGATCTCCCTGCCTTGGCCTCTCCAAGCGCTAGAAAATTACAGGTATGAACTACCATGCCTGGCCTTAGATCAGGTTTTAGCCAGTCAGAAAATGGCTCTAAGCTGACACTTTTGTTGTTAGTTGAAAAGTGCGTGACCAGGTGTGGTGGCTCACACCTATAATCCCAGTGCTTTGGGAGGCTGAGGTGGGAGGATCACTTGAGGCCATGACTTTGAGACCAACCTAGGCAACAAAGCAAAACCCTGTGTCTAAAAAATAATTTAAAAAAAGGTTGTCAGAATGATGGTGCATGCCTGCACTCCCAGCTACTTGGGAGGCTGAGATGGGAGAATCACTTGAGCCCATGAGGCTGAGGCTGCAGTGAGCCATGATCATGCCGATGTACTCCAGCCTAGATGACAGAGCCAGACCCTGTCCCTAAAAAAGAAAAGAAAGAAAAGAAGAGAAATGAAAAGAAAGGAAAAGAAAAGAAAAAAGTCTGTGAAGAGGCCTGTGAGATTGGGGAATCCCGAGGTTTGACGCAGCCTTTGCCTCCCAGCTCCTGAATAAACCTGAAGGAAGTTTCTCCCTTAGAACAGGAAGGAGGAGATGGGCCAGAGGCCTCCATTCTGAGGGATGCTGAGGTGGGGACTGAGAGGACATTGAGGGCACCTTCAGGTCCCTCTTTGCCTGTTCCCTCTTGCCCCCCCATTCCATTGCAGGTCTGAGTTTGGTGTTCCTCCTTTAGGCTTCCATTGCAGCAGCGGAGACCCTCCTTAGACTGGGGTTACCCTGCTCCTGAGTACACCACCGCTGCCGGCAGCCCAGTGGCAACTTCCCCAGTCTCAGGTGATCTAAAGCTATGCACAGAATAATACGGCATATTGGAGTCACTCAGTGCTTTCCCGGGCCACTATTCAAACCTCTTGCTACAGCCTCTTCCCTGTTTCTTTTTACCTGGGAAACTTACATTCTGCTTTTAGATCCTATCTTCTACTTCACTAATATATAGGGAAGAGCAGGAGGAAGGGAAAGAAGAGAGGTGGAGGTATTTATTGTCTTGGTTAGTGTTACCAGTAATGGTTTTTGGGCATTGTTTTAATTGCTTTATAACCACTAGTACGGCCCCTAGCCATCGGCAACGGGAGCCTGATAAGTAAGAAATTTATTTATAAAAACACATTAGTACCTCTGCCATTTTTGATGTGATGTGTAGGGCTGGCCCAATACAATCTGTGACTCTAAACATTTGCTCCATCATTAAAACAATTCAGCCCCCAGGAAATGCTTCTTCTCGGCTTTTGTTCTCTGTCTTTAAAACTAAATGTGACTTTGTCTGAATACTGAAAAATTTGTGTATTGTCCTTTACTGATGTCAGATGCACCTGTTTCATGGTTCAGGGAGGATTTAAACAGCTGAAGAACTTAAAAGAGAAAAGTCAGCAAATACTTTCACTCAAAGAGCATGAATGCAATACATTCTTGCATAATAAAGAGTCACCTGCCAGCAGGGCTGGGTGTCAAGTTTTTTAAAAAATGCATTTTGTTTTGTTTTCTTGTTCCTCCAGTTAACCTGATAGTTACACATAACAGTGGAGGAGCCTTTTGTAATTTTGAGCAAGTCACATTAATCTTAAATTTGTGTATGTGAAGATCTAGATGTAAAATGCATGAAACATGATCCACATTTTGCAAAGAGAAGCCTGGGACAAAAAGGAGTTCAGTAATTTGTTGACTCCCATAAAGCACATTAGTAGTGGAACTGCAACTCACCATCATTTCCTTCTAAGAACTTTGCTCTTCTCACCAAAACTTAAGGCTCCTCAGAGTGTCTAAGACAATAGAAATGAACATTTCTATGACAACAATTTTCTTTTCCTGAAATATTATCCCCACTTAATTTGCCCTACTAAAAATCCCAAGTATAAGAGCAAGTATAAGGTTGTAAGATGTCTACTATTGAATCACATTTGTCTTTTGCTGCTTAAAACCCCTAAGCCATTCAATCTTCAGTTATTTGGAAATCTTCACCTCAAATGTTTATCTTGTGCAATTTGAAGAAGAAACAGTGCCAGGCATTAGAGTGAGAATCTTCATGGAAAAAATGTCTGCCCAGAGGCAGATGAGGTCCTTCAGCTCCAGTGCTGATTGGTTCCTTTCCTAGGGACTCTCCAATCCTACCACACATGGAAACATCCAGAGGTTTTTATTGTTTCCGGCAGGTACATAAGATGCATTAGGTTTGAGCTGTGTTGACTACTACTGCTTTTTCCTTGGTCTCAATTATGTCTTGGAAGATGGCTCTGCAGATCCCTGGAGGCTTGTGGGCAGCAGCTGTGACCTTGATGCTGGCGATGCTGAGTACCCCAGTGGCTGAGGGCAGAGACTCTCCCAGTAAGTGCAGGGCAGATGCTCTGGAGAGCCGACACTCTGGGAACAGGCTCTCCTTAGGCTGGGGGATGGGGGTGGTGACCTCTATGGTCCTGGACACAATCTTTTATCAGGATTTCCTCTCTTTTGGGAAAGAGAGCTACGTTGCATTACCATTTATCTTTTAGTGATGAGGTGAGAACAATCCAGTCCCCATCCTAGAGGCTTACGCCTGGGAGAAGAGAGAGGAGAGGAAACAGGAGACAAAGTGTACGTTTACTACCAGTGACAGGACAAAGTGAGCATGGGCTTATTTTTGAAGACATGAATTTCTCCAGAGACACAGCAGGATTTGTCATTTCAGCGTGCCCCAAGACTTTGCCTGGACTAAATATTATGAGATCTTGTATTGGGAAATGTAAAGCAGCAATGGTGTCTGCAGTCTCTGTATTGAAGGAAAAGTAGTCTGTGTTCCTGACTGAGTGGAGCATTTGTGGAGGTGAAATCCTGGTACTGAGGGAAGCTGACTGGCTGACCACAGGCAGGGAGTCTTCAGGTTTCACTGATTTATGGGCAAATGTCGGATTCAGAGACCTGAATTGATGGTGGACTGAATTTAGTAGAAAGGAGGACGTAAAAAAGGGAAGTAACACATACTGTGAAACCACTCATTTCAGACACAGGACAATACTTAATATAAATTCTCTCTCTCACTCCTTCTAACATCCTGTGTGTAGATATCATGATTTTCTTTTACACAATTATACTTGAGATATGGATATTCTGTTACACAACCTGCCCAAGCTGGTGAATCTAGTTTAATTGGAATCTAGTTTATCAAATTGTAATCTAGTTTATCAAATTCAAAAGCTTGTGCCCTTTCCATGAATGTTTCTAAGACTCAGAGGTGTAGGTCTTTTCTAACACAGAAGTGAGTGAACCTCACACGGCACCTGGGAGGGCAAATCCAGGCGTGGGAAGGAAGATATTTTACCCGGGGACCAAGAGAATACGCGTATCAGAACGAGGACAGGCTGCATTCCTGGACCTGTCTCGTCATTCCCCTGAACTCTCAGGTTTATGTGGATAACTTTATCTCTGAGGGTCCCAGGAGCTCCATGGAAAATGGGATTTCATGCGAGAACACCCCGATCCCTCCAAGTGCAGAGTTACATGTAAAATCAGCCTGATGGCCTCTTTACTGGTTCACAGGCTCAGGCTTTCCACTTTCCTGCCTGTAGGAAGGCGGTTCCCGAAGCCCCCGGGGAGGGCGGGCAGGGCTGGGCAGAGCCACAGGGACGCGGTGTCCCAGTCCGGAGCGCGCGGCACCGGCCGGCGGGAACTGGAGGTCGCGCGGTGAGTCCCAGAGCGCAGGGCGGAGTCGGGGCGGCGGCTGCCGGGGCCGGGCTGGGGCCTGACCGAGCCGCCGGTGGCTCCCCGCAGAGGATTTCGTGTACCAGGTGAAGGGCATGTGCTACTTCAGGAACGGCACGGAGCGCGTGCGCCTTGTGACCCGATTCATCTATAACCGGGAGGAGTACCTGCGCTTCGACAGCGACGTGGGGGTGTACCTGCCCGTGACGCCGCTGGGGCCGCCCGACGCCGAGTACTTGAACGGCCAGAAGGACTTCCTGGAGAGGACCCGGGCGGAGCTGGACACGGTGTGCAGGCACAACTACCAGCTGGAGTTCCCCGCGATCCTGCAGCGGCGAGGTGAGCGTCGCCCCCCCGCGAGGCCCAGCCTTGGCCGGGGCCCCGAGTCTCTGCGCCGGGAGGGGAGAACCGGCCTCTGGAGCCCGGGACCCGTTCATTCCACCGCAGGGGACAGGGGGCGGTGGAAGGGGTGGTGGGGGCAGGTTCATCGGAGGGGCGGGGACCTAGGGCACAGCAGGGGCACAGGCAGAGTTGGGCAGGCGCCTAGTGTCCCCCCAGCCTCCCCGTCCGTCGGCCTTGTCCTCTGCTCTGCAAGTTCTCGCCTGGTGCCTTGTGCGTTTTCCTCCTCGTACTTTACCTTTGCTAAGCTGTTCTCTCTGCCCTGACCGCCCGCCCCGCTAGCACCGCCCAACCCAGCGAGGCCCACGTGCACGGCTCTCCCCGCAGGAAGCTTCAGGCTTGGCCTGGTGGAGATAGGGCTGCCCCACGACGGCGTGCAGGGCCTCCAGCAATTACAGTTGTGAAATAAGATATTTTGACTTTTAGCTTCAAATCATTATTCATCGTAATTCTGTTTTCTTAAATGGCTCTCGCTAATGATGGAGCTCTTTGGGGCGAGAGACTTTTAATTATTGCATGCCTGGTACCTGACACATTGACTGGAATGTGGTATGAGTGCAATGATCTTCTATTAAATTAATGAATAAATGTACTCAGCTGCCCATCCACTTAGGTTCAAGAAAAAAACAGGTAAACAGAGCCTTAAAAATAGACTTTATTAATTATTTTCTATCATTTTGCTTAATACTTTAAAGTCTTACTGGTTTGGACTTTAATAGTTTGTGAATACAAAGTCTGAGGAAAAAAACTGTTTGCTAAAAATAAAAACAACGCTTGAATGATGTTGTAGGCAGAGTTTTAATTCTTAGAAAAGCTGAACAAATGGCACAATGCAAAGAGCGGAAGTTTTGGAATAAATACGTTGAAGCCATTAAATTATTGGATAAAAAGTTTCTTATAAAAATATCTTGTAAGGCCCCATAGTTGACTGTGATTTCAGTCGGACTCCATGAAGGAGAAGCTAAAGAAAAGTTCAAGTCCAATGAAACCTTGATCCTTCTGGGTGATGGCTCATGAGTGTCGTTTAGTTGGGGTGCCACCTGCTGACCTCAGCAAATCCCGCTTATATTTATATGTTCACATTACAGGCTCATTACCCCAGGCCAACCTCTGCACGGATCTCAGAATATTTTCTATGAAGAACATGCATGATAATGTCTGATTCTAGAACAAGAAAGTAATTCTCAATAGCAAGGGAATGGAGTACGGTAGACAGCTAGTAATTAAACTCACTGATGTGAGAAAAAGAAATTAAGGAAAAAAGAAAATGAGAGAGCACATTACTAAACACAGAAAGCATACATTAAATGTTTACCATAGTTTCACATTAAGATAATAACGGAAGGTAAAGGATGAGATGTGTACAAGAGGTGGGGAAAGGTGTGCAATTTTTTTTTTTTTTTTACCATGAGCAGCAATCTGAGAAGATAAAGGAATTGACTTATGGGCAAACATGATGTTTGATCAGGGTTACTTGTTTTCAAGGTCTGCCTACTTTTTTTTTTTTTCAAATATTATAAACTGTAGAAATAACATTCTTTTTGATTTTTGGTGTCTGTTACTATGTTGCACATTCTATAAAGGCAGGAACCATGGTATGTTATCTTTGGATTCTCAGTGATTGTCAAAATTTTTTTTTTGAATGAATCTTAATCCAATCCAGGTATCTTTCCATTCTTGTTCCAAGGTTCATTCAAATTTGTATTTTTGAATGAATCTTAATCCAATCCAGCTATCTTTCCATTCTGGTTCCAAGGAGGGACATTTCCTCATGGTAGATGTGCTGTGTGGTCTCACATCTCACTCCTGTGTCTTTTCTTGTCTGTTACTGCCCTCAGAGAAGCCTACAGTGACTATCTCCCCATCCAGGAGAGAGGCCCTCAATCACCACAACCTGCTGGTCTGCTCAGTGACAGATTTCTATCCAGGCCAGATCAAAGTCCGGTGGTTTCGGAATGACCAGGAGCAGACAGCCGGCATTGTGTCCACTCCCCTTATTAGGAATGGTGACTGGACCTTCCAGATCCTAGTGATGCTGGAAATGACTCCCCAGCATGGAGACGTCTACATCTGCCACGTGGAGCACCCCAGCCTCCAGAGCCCCATCACCGTGGAGTGGCGTAAGGGGATATTGAGTTTCTGTTGCTATGGGCCCCAAGAGACAAAGGGTAGAGCTCCTTCTGACCCCTCCCTTCTCATCTCATATCCCTGATGTCACTACTGAGCTGCGAATCACAGGAGACTAGAGCACCTCTTTTGATGGCAAGTGCATCAAAAGAATCCTGATCTCATCACCTTTCAGATGCTAGGGAAATTACATACTGTTGCTCTGGATCCTAGTCCTGATAGCTCCGAGGGACTGATTATTAGGGCTGGTGACTGCGATCTTAGGGTCTAAGGTTATAGATGAGTTCCTGAGGAGTGGAGATCTGCTTCCCTGCTCTCTCACCTACCCACTGTATCCAAGAACCTATTGGCTGGTCTTTCCCTCCCTTAGGGGTGGTCTGAATGGAGAACTATGTTCCTTTGATGCCTTCACCTCCTCCACCTCAGAACGGACGTCAGCTCCTCAATGGACGTCAGCTCCAGGGATGCTATGGGGTGTAGGGACAAACACTGACACTCAGACTCTGCTTCTTAGGGGCTCAGTCTGAATCTGCCCAGCGCAAGATGCTGAGTGGCGTTGGCGGCTTCGTGCTGGGGCTGATCTTCCTTGGGCTGGGCTTTATCATCTATCACAGGAGTCAGAAAGGTGAGGAACTGCAGGGGAAAAGGGGAAGATGTGCTGTGACCCAGACCCTCTGTTCAGAGAGGACCTGCCTCTGATGTAGCTATTTCCTCCTGACCCTGAGAGGAAGAAGCCTGGGCTGGAGTTGGGAGGAGACAGGACAAGATTGGAGGAGGCATTGGAATCTGATTTTACTGGGTGAAAGGTAGCCCTGTCACAGAGTTGACTGATAGAGCTTATTCCAGGATGGCCTTACCGTTCATCATTGTCTCACTGGCTCCTTAGTAAAGCTTCCTCCATTAAGACGGTCAGAGCCTCAGTCTCCTTGACTTCTAGAGACATTTTCATTTGTTTTAGGGGATTTTAAATTAGGATGCTTAAGGTCTTGAAGAACATGGGTGGGAAGAGAATATAACTCTACTTAAGTCATGTGTATCATTTTCCTTTGGGATAAGAGAGTGGTTGTTTGTGTAATGAGACCTTTTGAGACCTTTCTTTGCATAGCTTCTTTTTTTTTTTTTTTTTTTTTTTGAGACAGAATCTTGCTCTGTCACCCAGGTTGGAGTGCAGTGGCATGATCTCAGCCCACTGCAACCTCCACTTCTTGGGTTCAAGCAATCCTCTGCTTCAGCCTCCCGAGTAGCTGGGATTACAGGTGCCTGCCACTACGCCTGGCTAATTTTTTGTATTTTTAGTAGAGGCGGGGTTTCACCATCTTGGCCAGGCTGGTCTTGAACCTCTGACCTTGTGACCCACCCATTTCGGCCTCCCAAAGTATTGAGATTACAGGTGTGAGCCACAGTGCCTCGCCACGTAATTTTCTTTTGTAGGACCTCAAGGGCCTCCCCTAGCAGACGATATTTCAGCTGTGATCCAGTGTGGGGTGGGCACAGGTATAAGAGGGAAGAGCATGGGCTGACTGTACCTGACCACAGTGGTCTCTGTTTGTGGCCTATTTGCTGCTCTGAGGATCAAGACTTAGGGGAGAAGTTTGCCAGTTTCTAGGAATCTCCAGAGATTGTTCCCCAGAAGCAAGCCTTAGCTTCTTGTGAAATGTGGGGACAGAACCACAGCTTAAATGTTAGACAGTAGGTTGATGCCCACTTTGTGCCACATTTTGGTGGCTACTTCCTGTAGGCATTTTCCAGTGACTGAAAGAGGCCACTAGTGGTAGGAATGAAGTATCACCCAGTTTCCTAAAAAGATTGAGCTCTTCATATTCCCCAAAAGAGCGACAGCTGTTCCCCCACCTCGCACACATCTGCATCAAGCCGAAGTTCCATGTCCTCATGAGCTGATTTCACCTTTGCTCAGATCTTGGGGGAGGTGATGATGCTACACCCTGGACTTCAGCTTTCTCTGTCTGAAGCTGCAGGGGGCCCCTGAGGGGTGGGGGAGATGGCAGGCCCATCAGGGTACCCTGTGCTGATTACGCCTCGTCTCTCTTCTCCAGGGCTCCTGCAATGACTCCTGAGATGATTGTAACTGGGATGGGTTATCACTCTTCTGTAATGCCTGCTTGTCCTGCCCAGAATTCCCAGCTTCCTGTGTCAGCCTGTCCCCCTGAGATCAGAGTCCTGCAGCGGCTCTCACGCAGCCACCAGGTCATCCTTTATCCCACCCCAAGGCGGTGGCTGTGACTCTGCTGCCTGCACTGACCCAGAGCCTCTGCCTGTGCGGGGCCAGCTGCAGCTGCTCAGGCCGCAAGGGGTTTCCGTTCCTGTTCTCTCCTCCGACTGCTCAAGAGAACCACGTGAAGACCATTACCAGACTTTAGAGCTTTTAAACATAATTAAACATGATTCTGAGTTGTCTGTATTCTGATCTTCCTTAATCGAGCAGAGGCAGGAAGTCACTGCAGAATGAAGGAACATACCTTGAGGTGACCCAGCCAATCTGTGGCCAGAAGGAGGGCTGTACCTTGAAAAGGCACTGAAAGCATTTTGGGCTGTGAAGTAAGGGTGAGCAGAGGAGGCAGAAAGTCAATTCAGTTGTCACATCATTTACGGTTCTTTCATATTGGTGTTCAGTGCAGTGTCCTTAGAATACCCCAGCCTGTATTCTGGTTTGGTGAGTGCTGTGTAAGTAAGCATGGTAGAATTGTTTGGGGACAGATATAGTGACCCTTGGTCACTGGTGTTTCAAATATTTTGGCAAGTCACATCAATCAAGAATAATTTTTATTTTTAAGAAAGCAAAACCAGCAATAAAAGTACTATTTTTGATTCTAAATGATAGAAACCCAAATATATTTTGTCCATGGTACAAAGGAAGCCTAGTGTCAAGTTGATTTCAGAAGTGACTAGTTCCAGATATTCACTGAGATCTTCACCTCTCTCTTTCTGTTATGTCTCTATCTGGGCATCTGTCTCTTCCTCTGTGTCTCTTTGTCCCTGTATAGTTCTTCCGTGTCTCTCTGCATCTTTGTCTCTGTTCCCTTGCTGTGTCTTTCACTACATTGTTGCCTTTCTATTTTTCTAATCCATTGTCACTATTTATCTGCAGTTTTTTTCTATCTCTGTTTCTTTTTGCTTTTATTTTTCTGCATTTCTCTTCCTTATCACTTCATATTTTATCTCATCTCTCTCTCTCTCTTCGTCTCTCTCTCTCTCTCTCTCTCTGTGTGTGTGTGTGTGTGTGTGTACATGTGTGTCTGTCTGTCTGTCTTTGTTGTAAATGTTTCTAGAATGGCTGCCAGAGTTTTAACAACTTTAGGAAAGATTCTGATTGGCCAAGCCTGGGTAACATGCACACCTCTCAAACACACTGTCCTGTGCACGAGATGCTGACAGCCAGCATTGTGCCCATCTCTCTTATTAAGAAGGAGGACTGGATTTTCCAGATCCTTGTGGTGCTGGAAATGACTTCCAGTGTGCAAATGTCTACACTAGCCACGTGAAACACCTCAGCCTCCAGAGCCTCCTCACAGTGGTGGGGTGGGGTGTAAGGGGTGGTTTGTTTCTTGTGGAGCCCACAGGACAGATGGCAGAACTCCCTCTGGTTCTAGGGTCCTTCGCTAAGGTACCTGTTCACAGCCATCCCATTCCTTGTCTAAGCTCTCTTTGTCATTGACATAGTAATCTATTGATTCCTGATGACACGCTCTTCCTGGTTTTGAGGGAGGTCACTACACACTGTGGCCCCTTTGATGTGGTCCCAGCCCTGAAGCTGGTCTACATCTCAGTCTCTGAGTTTCATCATGAAGACAGAGTTTAAGAGCTTCTGCAAGGTTTTGGAGGGCCACGACCCTGAAAGCAGACATCCTGTCTTCCTTCGTCTCTCACCCACACACTGGGCCTGAGGAGTCTTTGGCAGGCTCTTCCTTCTCATGGACAAGGTCAGAATGGAGAACTAGGTCTCCTTGGGACCTTCATCTCTTGTACTCCAGGCTGTCAGGCAGGTCCTCAGACAGAGACACTGGCACTCAAAGAGACCAAAACTTTAGACCCTGCTCCCCAGGGTTATAGTCAGAATTGTTTTCAAGCAAAATGCTGAATGGAGTAAAAGGTTTTGTGCTGAGTTTGTTCTCTTCCTCGGGGTGGGCCTTGTCATTCACCATATGGATCAAAAGAGAGTGACGCTTTTGGGGAAATGGGGAAGGCGTGTGCCGGCTTGTCCAGGGTGTCCTCAGTCTCTGTGTGCAGCTCATTGCCTTTGATCCTGCAAAGGGAAGAGGCAGCAGGGTTGGGGATTGAACCAGACTCAAAGTTTAGGGAGACATTGAGATCTTGTTTTTCCAGTTGAAGCATAAGCCCTAAGAATATCCTAGAATATAATCTACCACCCACCCTGAAGGGTTAGGATTAGGGTTAGGGTTGGGTGGTAGATTATATTCTAGCACATTCTTTTTTTTTTCTTTTTTTTTTTTTTTAGGCAGAGTTTCTCTCTTGTTACCCAGGCTGGAGTGCAATGGCGCGATCTCGGCTCACCGCAACCTCCGCCTCCTGGGTTCAGGCAATTCTCCTGCCTCAGCCTCCTGAGTAGCTGAGATTACAGGCACGTGCCACCATGCCCAGCTAATTTTTGTATTTTTAGTAGAGACGGGGTTTCATCATGTTGACCAGGATGGTCTCGATCTCTCGACCTCGTGATCCACCCGCCTCGGCCTCCCAAAGTGCTGGGATTACAGGCTTGAGCCACCGCGCCCAGCCATCTAGCACATTCTTACAGTTCAACATTGTCCCACTGAGCAGATTCTGGAACATTCTTTATTAATGAGAGGGTCAAAATCTTCTCTTTCTTCCTGACAGTTTCATAGAAACAACTATTTTTTTTGCACCCAGATTTCATTGGATAGTACAATCTTTAAAGGATAATTTAATTAAAATGACAAATACATCCTGTATAAATAAGTTTGCTAACATAAAGAACTGAGTCTTAGTCAGCATATAACTTGGAGGAAGGAGTGTGGGTGTTTTAGAGAACAACCTACCACTCTTGAGCATTTGTCCTTACCTTAGATAATAACAGTATATCTTTTGGAGACAGTGGTGCTCACCAACATTCCAAAGCTTCTGTACATTTCCCAGTGTTTTCTCCTGTTAGGTTGGGGTCACTTGACTAACAGCAGCCAATGGAACTTGCAAGTAGATGCATGATGGTATATGAGATGCTGAAAACTCTGTAACCTAAGTCACTTGAGTAACTGTGGAATGAAGGCTCCTTATTGAGTTGAGCCACTGAGATCTACTTTTTACTGTGGGTTAAGATCTTATTGCAATGTAACCTTGCCCTTCTTGATTATCATGAAATGTTTAACTTAAGGAAGAGAGTTCTTAAGTTAATAGGGTGAATCAATTGAGTTAATGGACGCTAAGAGAAGATTTTTAAAAAACAAATTAAAAAATAAACAGAAAACTTTATTTGAATAAATTAAGAATGTTACACTTTAAAAGAATTTTACATTCATTAATTATTTTTAATTGACAAATAATTGTGTATTTATAGGGTTCTATGTGACTTTTTGATACATGTGATAAAACCCGGCTAATTAACAAATCCATTGCTTTACTTTTTTGTGGTATGAGTATTTAAAATCTATTCTCTTAGCAATTTTCAAATATACAATACAATTGGCCCTCTGTATCTGTGGGTTCCACATCCTCTGATTCATTCAACATTTAGAAAAAAAATGAAAAATAACAATATAATGATAAAAATAATTCCAATTCAAAAGCAATACAATATAACATTTACATAGCATTTACATTGCATTAGGTATTATAAGTAATCTAGAGATGACTTAAAGTACGTAGGAAGATAGGCTTAGGTTACATGCAAAAACTAAGCCATTTCTAACAAGGGTCTTGAGCATTTATAGACTTTGGTGTACAGGGAGGGTCCTGGAACCAATCCATCATGGATGCTGAGGGACGACTGTACGTTGTTATTAACCATAGTCACCATGCTGTATAATCGATCTCTAGTACTTATTCCTCCTGTCTAACTGAAACTTTGTACTTTTTTTTTTTTTGAGACGTGGTTTAGTTCTGGCTGGAGTGCTGTGGTGTCATCACAGCTCAATGCAGCCTCGACTTCCCAGGCTCAATCCATCCTCCCACCTCAGTCCCTGGAGTAGCTGGGACTACTGGCATGAGCCACCATGTCTGGCTAATTTTTGTATTTTTTGTAAAGACAGTGTTTCACCATGCTGCCCAGCTGGCCTTGAACTCCAGGGCTCAACCAGTCCGCCTGCCTCAGCCTCCCAAAGTGGTGGGATTATAGACATGAGCCACCACACCCTGCCCTTCTTCGTACCTTTTGAGTACACTAGTTTCATTTTCTTTGCAGATGTACCCAGAGATGGAATTGCTGGATCATGTGGTAGTTTTATTTTTAATTTTTAAATAGATGATGAATTTTAAAAAACATGTATTTGGGCCAAGCACAGTGGTTCATGCCTGTAATCCCAGCAGTTTGGAGTCTGAGGTGGGCGGATCATGAGGTCAGGAGTTTGGGACCAGCCTGGCCAACATAGTGAAACCCTGTCTCTACTAAAAATACAAAAATTAGTCAGGCGTGGTGGTGGGTACTTGTAGTCCCAGCTACTCAGAAGACTAAGACAGAGAATTGCTTGAACCCAGGAGGCGGAAGTTGCAGGAAGCTGAAACCATGCCATTGTACTCCAGCCTGGGTGACAGAGTGAGATTCCATCTCCAAAAAAAAAATTGTTCGTTTACTTCCACATGAATATGTATTCCCAGGAACTAGAACACTGCTTCTGTTGTGGATACTGTTCTGTTCTACCTAAACTCCTCTCTTTGGGACGGAAGGATTTATTCTCTCATTGCTGGGAATGTTGCCGGCTGAAAGCCCTTAGCTGTCAGTCATTCCCCAGATTGCCTTAGGTGATGAAAGCTGCCTCATCGGATTTTACTACATTTCGCAAGAAGAACCACTCCACTTCCCAGGAATGACTGGTCAGTGTGGCGAGTATAAAGGTCCTAAACCCTTTCCCTAATTTGGGCCGACTCTGAAGGGCTCTTTACAGCTTCAGAACTCCCTGGGGGTTAGGCTGAAGCCTTTTTGTGACTGGATGATAGTCCCATTTCTAAAACCCTGCTTTAATTCATGAGCCATTGTACATAATTCTTTTGGTTACAAATGTAACTTAAACGTGATGATCTTTGTGACTTCTTCCTTAGCTATGGGCAATGTCTCTTTTCTCCTTCTTGGAAGATGACGTTATTGGCATTGTTACCCTTCCTTTCCCCTCCCTTTATGCTTCCACTTGCCAAAATGAGGTACATGCACCCTTTTTTCAATATTGTCAAAGCTGACAATTTTGACATTCTGCTGTAACAATAAGTGT